TATTCGCTAAATAGTCAACCATGTAATTGCAACTGTCATCAAGATCAACGTAAATGTTGTTGTCAAGGTTATGGATCGTAAGTTTTTTGCTTTTTAAATAATTAACAAAATAAACAATTTTGAATAATCTCTTTTCCCTCCCTGTTATCATTTGCTTTAGGCATTTTCACAACCAACAAGTTTAAAGACATAAAATATTATTTTCACGTTTTTTTTTTCTTTTTAAAAATAAATATGAACCCTTAAATGATGTGTAATTTGCTTTTGACTAACTAAACATTTTTAGCACTAACCATTATCAACAATTGACTAATCAAACTATATCGACTCCTGTTATTCCGACATACATAATCAGTTTACAAATTGGCTTGGGCGATCGTATTCAAGGTCTTGCAATTGGTCGATCACATCCAATTACATTATATGATTTACAAGTTGAATTACAACAACATTTTAATGTTCCTATTTTACAACAAAATCTTTCCTTTAATGGAATGCCATTATTGCATCTTCCACCTGATACATCACTTCAAACAATTGGAATTACTAATAATGCATTTATTTCACTTTGGTATAGAAATAATATCTATATTGATCAACAACAAATTGCTGACTATTTTACGCCAAGACAACAACAGATTGCTGACTATATTACGCCAAGACAACAAGAAATGTCATCATATTATTATGACGATGGATCACAATCACTACGTAGTAGTAGTGGTGATGTTTCATCAAGGTAAGATAATTAGTGAGAAATGTGTGTGTGTTTTTGTGAGAATATTAATGATATTAGTTGTCGGCTCTCATGATTTAAAAGGCGAATGTACAACAGCAATAGTGGAAATGAACTAGTAAAAAATGGAACTAATCAACAAGTAATTAAAATTGAAGTATTTCATGGTATGTTGTTTGAACTGTATCTTTCTAAATTAAAATATGAATTTATTATCAGGTTCAGATCGACATGTAATTACTCTACGTAGTTCAAGTAATATACGTATTAGTGATTTAATGGAAGAATTACAAAAAATAACAACTGTGCCTATTCAAAATCAAAGACTCTATTATCGTGGACAAGAATTACAAACAATGAAACAAAGTTCATTGCAAGATGTAGGTCTTGATAATAATTCTCAAGTGAGATTAATTGGCCAACCAACAAAATCACGATATCTACCATTAATGACAAGTAATTAAGCGACACGAAAGTAATAAAAAAAAAACATTTGCAAATCATTCTATTTTCTATATATTTTCACTTGTTCGTTTTTTGCTATTGCTATATTTGTTCATTCACCTCCTACATTCACAAAAAATATTTTTTTTGTAAATAATTTGTGTGCAAATAATAAAATAGAATTATAAATAGTTTTGAAAATCAATTTCCTTTACTTAAAGCAAAATTACAAACAATAAGAATGGGTAACTATATTATATTCAGTGTTTTATGTAACTTTTTTCGTCCGAGGGTGCGAAATTAACTGCCGGGAGGGCAAAAATCTCTCTTTTGGTGGGGGGGAGGCAGGGGCACCCACCGAGAGGGCGAATAGCCCCGTGCACTCCCCCTCCCGCTGGATAAATTACTGATTATATTGTTCTACTTATCATAGTAGATTCTTGCAATGAAAGACTAAAGATCTTATGTTAGAATGAGTTTTTAGATTTTATTCTTAAGTTTATTTTGTTTAGTAAATATTATGTTACAATGAAACTGATCGTCTGACTTCATATCGATAATATTTTTATCAAGGATAAAATAAGTTTAGATATAGATTTAGAATTATACTATTATATATCACTATAATAAATATTATTCTTGTCAGTGACAAATTATACTTCATAACTGATAAATATTTAAATAATTACCTAGTTTAGTAAACGTGATTTTTTCATAAGTCATTAATCAGTACATTGATGATATGGTTAGTCAACAAAAAAAAATTAAGTTTAGAAGAGAGAAAGAGTGAAGAAAATTTTTATGGAGAATTTGCTCAACTAATTATTCATTTTTTGATAGATAATCTTGAAAGGAGATAATAAAATAGGCACTTATTCCAATGTTAAGTATTTTATATAAAGTCTCAATGAAAACGTTTAGTTTCTTAGGCTAAATATTAAAAATCCTCAAGTAAATCTGAAATAAACGTCGAATTAGAGTTGTACAAAGTAAATTTTTTTATCATCCATCGCTATTTGTTTCATGCATCTCTGCATCCAATACCAGATGTATACGTATAGAAGGATTACATGACTATATATAAAATAGTAGAGCATACATGTTTATGAAATGTCCATCGGATGATCGAGATAAATCGGTTGAGATAAATCTCAACAGATGTAGTACATACAAAGAGATGCCAGATAGAAAAAGTAAGAAAAAAATCAAACATACATGATAAATACGAATGAAAGAAGAAGTCAACGAAAAATAACGACTTATCAATCATTTTTTTTACTTATCTAGGTCGATGTTTTTGTACCGATAAGTTGAGTAGATTAACCTAACAATTCAATTTACTTACTGAGAGTACCGACAAATTTTACTTTGTACTTAAATATATGCCAATAAAATATTTAAGGTAAATTCACTTTAATTGATTCAATAATCACGCAGTAATATTTCTAGGGTAATATAGTGACACGATTATGAAATCTATATATTGTTATTGTATCTTATTGATTTAATATTAAGAATCTATACAAAAATAAACGATTCATTAAATTTCGTAAGCAACTTCTATGAATGATGTATATATTCAATAATAATATATTATGTAATATAAGTAGAGATAGAAATTATGAACGATTATTTACAATTGAATCTTATAAAACAAGTACTTGAAATACTATTCATCGTTCAGAAATCATTTTTATTAAATAAAGATAGAGATTTATACATACAATTTTACTTAAAAATTAAATGAATCAATAAACAATGAGACTCATTGTTACTCTATCAAGGACGTACAGTTATTTTTCCTTATTTCAAGTGCCACTTGTGGTGACTTAATTGATTCTCTAGTATACTATATATATATATCAACAAATGTAATGATTGTAAAACATACACCATTAACAATTTGTTTATATTCTATTGCTGATTTTTACTACTGACACATGTAAGTAGAAAAGTTATTCGATTGTATTGATTAGTTATTAAATAGATACACATCAAATTGAATGATATTATTAGTTGATAATTTTCTATTTTTCATTGAAATTAATTATAGAAAAATATTTTCATTACACAATATAATGAAGTATTAAGTGTTTGAAGAACAACTGCTACTGCCTTGAGATACAATATAAACAAAACAGTTATTTCCTCTAAGCAAATACCCTCAAGACTTCAGCTAGAATCATATAGAAGAATCTTTTCACAATAAATAGATGAGGATATATGATTGAATACTCTAATTTCTTATCTTTGATGGTAAAATCAATATTCATTAGATCAAATAACATAAGTTTATACAGCTGATACTTTATTCTATGAAATGAACAAAATAAAAAAATAGATTTAATTGAACATTCACGTACATTTATCATTTTTTTTCTACTATTAATGTTTATTTGAAAAAAGAGACAATTTCAATGATTAGTACTTCACGAAATAAAAATGAAGTGAATGAATATGATACTAAACAAAGTTTCGATTTCTTACTTGAATTTTTATATTTACATATAATACGTGTTTCGTAGTGGTTCTAGTCATTTTTTGATTGGTTATCCGTTTCCACCTATCCATAAAAATTTATAGGTCAATTTTTTTTCTCGTTACGTATGTTTATTTCTATAAATGGTATTGTGTTATATTATACTATAGTCTACTATTTATTGATTGTATAAACAAATAATAATAATAATAATAATAATACTTATGTGTTTCGTTTTACTATAGATTGGATATATATTCATTACATATTAGTATTTTCTAGAGTAAATATCTGTTCATCTCCTCCTTATTGAAGTTTATTATACAATGGCAGACTTATATCACTTTACCATCTGGTAACTGTTATTTATCCATCATATATTAGCTTTTGCTGGCATTCGTATTTAGTAGTTCTGTTAATTAACCTTCTATCTGTCCATTTATGTTATTATATAGTTTCATCAATTGTCATTAGTATTATTTTCCTTGTAATCTGAAGAAGATTACTTAGAACTTACTTTCCAAAAGTAATGAATAGCATCGAGAATGAGAATCCATATCAATACAACTATATATGTGAGGCATTGCTTCTCTTATATGTCATTTTTTTTTCATTTGCTTTTCGTTCTTTTCTTGTTCAATTTAATGTGTGTATTTGCCCTTCACCCAAGTTTCCTTCCCACTTGATTATTGCATTAGTTAACATTTTGTGGACGAGTTGTGAGTACGAAAGAAGTACATATATATATATATATATATATATAAATACAGCTGAAGAGAAAGAAGAAGAAGACGAAGAAGAAAAGAGAACGTCCTTATGTAATCCGTTTTTATTCATAAATTGTCTAACGTGCGTATATGATTGTTCAAAGCACATCTCATCTTTTCTTCTGCTCCATCGCTCACTTATACTTGAACACTCATTATTCTTCGTTCTTACTATTAAGGATACATATATTCATTTTTAAAGGTTTCACGCCTACTGTGTACTAGCCGTCAAAAGCATAGAATGTTGTCTCTCAAAGATAGAAGTCATATGCAATGAGAAGTCAGTCAGCATGTGTTAATTTCTTAATGATATGTGTGAATATACAAAATACATCCGGATATAGACAGATAGATAGAGGGAGACGAGTCATTTGCATAAATGTCATAGACAACAAATGCGTTCAATTTTTGTTTTCTTTTTTCTTCTAGAAGATAATTATCTGGCAGTTTGATACAGCCATTGACTACAACATCAACAACGACAAGATGCCAATATCATTATTACTACTTGTTTTCAATAGTAAGTGAAGATCATTATTCGTTGTTTTAAAGAATAACATAAGTGAACATTAATATGAGAGTCTCTTAAGATTACTCTAATCGATCTATTGTTATATGAAATTATCATGAGAAAAAGAAAAAATCTCAATGGAATTCATATTAAATTAGATGTTATTCTCACATTAAAAGCTAAAGAAAGAAGGACATAGACTAAGTGTTGTATTTTATAAGGAATCATGTCTTAAGTTTCATAAATGTCTAAAGTAGAAGAGAAAAAAAACATACAAATGCGAAATGTTTGACTTTCAAAATTCTAAATTGTTATAATTTCAATATGCAAATACATTTAAAATTTATTATGACGAATTCTATTTTAGTCTGTCTCTTATTTACTCTTATTGGTTTAACTGCTTCAATTGATAACGATTCTGTTATTAAATTAAATGTTTATCCAAATTATGGTTTTGTAGCAGAAAATATTGAAATTCGTTGTCAAATAAGTGCACCATCTGACTATGATCACATCTACTTATTAGTTAAAACAGATAATGTTAGACCATCTGGTATACTTCTTATGGTAGATAATACAGTTAATCAATGTCGAATAAATAAAGCACAATTTATTACTGTTCATATTTGTAATTCTACATTAATACTTATTCATATTAATCATGTAGTTCTTAATGATACTCTACATACTATACAGTATGAATGCAATCAAGGTGAAGAAAGTGCTCTCAGTTCATATCAATTATTAAGTAACTATTAAAAAATTCTTTTCTTCAAAAAAACAAATATATAATTCATTTGTTCTATTTAGAAGAGCAACCAGCACAATATTATGATATGAAATCTACCAATTCTTCATCTTCATTAACACATACACTTCTTCTATTATTATTATTATCTGTTCTTCTAATCACACGACTAACGACTACATATGAATTTCGATAGTTATTAAATATACAAAAATTATATTATAAAATGATTTTATTAAAAACACGTGGTATGTGTTAGTCTGTGATAAAGAAGATTTCGTTCTTATTTTGTATCGCAAAATTTTATGTTATATACATACAGCTATTACTATTATTTTTTGTGTTTTTTTTTCTTTTTAATTTTTATATTCTTTCTTGTGTATTTCTTGTTATATAGAAAGAATTTCTTTAGTTAATTCATTCCAGAATCTCCCTTGTATATCGAAATAAGTTTGTTAAATATGTGTGTATTTAGAAAATAGTTGAGAATGATTCATCAAATTTGTTGTTTTTCTTTCCTCCGGTTTATTTTGCTTCGTGTAAATGAATGACTCATCACCACTCATTTACTTTTCTTTGTTTTTCGTTTTTTTTTTTAAATATAGAAATTATATCTTTGATCGATAAGCAAATATAAGAATCATTTTTTTTTGTTTTAGATGGCAACTAGTTATTCATCAGTATCACAACGTGAACGTAATGCTCAAGCATTTTTCCCTAATTCAGCTACACATGCTGATCAATGTCGTTTTGTTTGCATCTATCCGGCTTATATAAATGCAAAGAAAACACGTGCACAAGGACGTCGTGTTGGCAAAGCAAAAGCAATTGATAATCCAACGGCCAATGAAATACGTGATATTTTAGAAAATGCCGGTTTAAAAGTTGTTTTAGAACCTAATCGTTTATATAGTCGAGAAGAATCACGTGAACCTCAACAACGTGGTCGTGTTCGTGTTCAATTAAAAAATTCGGATGAAACATTAATAAAAGAACAATTTAAAACAAAGGATGATTTATTATTTTATTTGGTTGATATGATCCCGAAATTAAAATCACGTACTGGCAATCAACAACAACAACAACAAAGTCAACAAGGTGGTGGCAAAGGCAAAAAACGCTAGAATATTCCATAGAGAAATCTTCTATTTTTTTCTCTTTTATTGTTATTTTATTATTTAAAAAAAAAAACTTGAAAAACAAGAAAACATCTATGTATCAGTTCCACTCTTTATTTTGAATGAGAGAAATAAAAACAAGTACACTTAGTTTTTAGATCTGTGATATATTTCTATTTGCTTTTCTTTCCTTAATTTTCTGCGCTTGTGCGCATTGAAAATAAAAATCTCTCAACAACGATGTTAATCGACGAACAGAATGCTGATCAAATAATCACAACGATTCGAACACTTCATCAAACGACAATTGATCAACGAGAACATGATCTAACTGAATATCTTATTGAAATATTTCAATCAATTGAAGAACAACAACAACAATTAAATTTAATTAAGTTATTTCATTTATTAACAAATCTTTTACGTGATTATATTGATCGAGCAGCATTAAAAATTGAATTTCTTAATGCAAAATGTTTAGAAACAATTGATCGAATATTAATAAATCAAACAACTAATCAAGAAAATATTATATCAATACTTCAATTTATCGCTGAACTTCTTGTTAATTCAAAAAATGTTCAAGAAGTTTTTCTTAAGTTTAATGGTTATGAAAAAATCTTCCGTTCTCTTTATTATGTTCATACACCATCATTAGATTTTGTTAATCAATTACTTATACTTATGACAGAAAATTCAACATTACAAATTGATCAATCACTAACAGCAGTAGATCTCTATGTTCATTTTATTAATCCATATATAGCTATTATATTAATATCTTGGTTACCATATTTAACAAATATATCTCATCAACATCATATTATACATACCATAAATATTATTGTTTCACGTTCATTACAAAATAAAATGATGGCTTGCTCCAATAATATTATTTATTCTTTAATTGATATACTTTTTTCAAATAAATTAAATGATAAAATTTTACTGGATAATATTTTTTCAATCTTAGAAAAATTATGTCGATTTTCAATAAATATTAAAGAAATTCGTCATATATGTCAATTATTGAATCAAAATACATCTTTTAAAAAACAATTATTACGTGTTTTAATTACGGCTGCTAAACATGATGATCCTGATACACATTCAATTTCTTCATATTTTGATTTACAAAGAGCTAACAGTGTATGTAATAATGTTTTTTTCTACTTTTGAGAAACATGATTGAAAAGTGTATTGATTCAAGGAGATTAGTTTTAAGTATTCGAGCTCATAATTCTCTTAAAGTTTCACAACTTTTCTAGGGATGTGCAGTATCAGTATACTGAACACCGGCATGGTGTTCACTGTGCTCTAAGTGAAGACAGTGTCGGTGTCATCACTGAGGCAGTGAACACCACATCGGTGTACACTGTACTCTTAGTGCAGACAGTGTCGGTACAATACTGACAGTTTTTCAGTGTTTTCACTGAAATTGCATATCCCTAAACTTTTCATACATTCGCCGTTCTTGAAATGCTTTAGAAAGGAGATGACAGTATTTCCTTAGACACATTTGTTCCGTATGTATTTTGATAAATATTCTAATAATTGTTTTCTTATTTTCAGGGAATTATTTTACCAGTTATACGTCGTTGGCCATCATTATCAAATGCATCATTACATTTTACATTTCATTGTTGGTTAAGATTGAATAATGAAGTTGAAAGTTATCCATATGATGCACGTCGTCAAATTTATTCGTTATATTCAGATACCATTGGTCTAGAATCTTTTATATGTAATTCATCGATAATTATATCAGTAAGTGATCGTCGTGAACTTGTTTATATTGAAATACCTGAATGTGATGATTTAATTGATGGTTGTTGGCATTCATTAACTATTATTCATACAGCACAACGACCATCTTTATTTGTTGCTGCATTTCAAGCAGTATCAACATGTTATTTAACAGTTTACATTGATGGTTTATTGAAGAAACAAGTTAAAGATTTTAAATATGTCCCTTTAATGAATGATCCCATCAGTTTAGCTTCAATTGGTGCACCTAGTCAACGGCCCCGTTTACCATCAATGGGTTCAAAAGATTCATTACAATTATCAACAACAATTGCAAAAACAATTCAACCATTTAAAGGTTTATTTTCATCCAAAAATAAAATGTCCAATTCACGTTCAGAAAATCAAGCACTTAATCCACAAAATATAATGACAGTTGAACCAAATAGTCAAGATACTATATTTGGACAATCAACGTGTTTACATGGACAATTAGCTTGTGTTTGGATTTTAGCCGAAACATTAAATGAAACACAAGTTAAACATTTACATTCTATGGGTGCTGATTTTTGTCATCAAAATCGTTCAATATCCGGTGAAGATAATTCCATGTCTACTATGATATATGATCTTTTATCTACTCGTTCTCTCCTAGTCTATCATCCATTAGCATGTAATAATCAAATTTGTGTTGATATATCAGCTTGTACATCTCAAATGAATGGTCGATTTAATAATG